TCTGCAGAGCCTTGAACGGCTTGGTTTAAAAGGGGTAACATGACTAAGAAATGAATATTGACAGTGGATGAGTGGTACTGTTGGCTCTTAGAGCTAACTTTGTAATCAAAGCAATAGAAGGCTACAGTAACATTGATTTCAAGCTTTTTGAAGATGTGGACAGACATCATTTCATGGGTTATATAACTTGTTCACACTTGTAGTTTTAGCTCTACAGCCATAAAGACTAGATACCTTGTCTTTTATATTAAGAAAGGGATTATATCCCAGTGAGCCACATAACTCTCTAATTTAAGCTATCTCCTACTTCTAGGGTGTTTCCTGGATAGCTGTAGCTCTAGGGCAGGAATTCAATTGCTAATTCTGCCGCTGAGTCACTCTAGTTTCTCTATAATAATACTTGTGTCATAGGAGCATTGTGAAATGTAATTAATGACTGGAAGCACTTTGAATATATAACGCTCTATAAATATAAATTATTTCTAAAAAATCCAGCCCTATGAATTTAGATTAAGAAACATCAACTCACATTGAAAACTAATGTTTCCCTGCAATATAGTAGGTAACCATTCAGCACCGCACCATTGGGCAGCTGACTTGGTCATCTTATGAAATGGACCAGGACCAGAGGAAAAGGTACTGTTATTTGAACAACGGATTTTTGGAGCCTGAGGGTAGAAGAAATGAATGCGTTTCTACAGCACTAGGTGATCTAAATGACCTTTGATATCCCTTCTAACCCCATGATTGCATGAAAACCATAGTCCCTTTGGTCATAAGCATCTCAGGTAATTTATATTGTGACTATCACACCTAGTCATTTCCAGCTGAGTGGAAAGTCTCTCCCAGAGTCCTCTCAGAATCCTTCATATTGAAATCTATCTGGGGGAGGAGTTTTAAATGTAGAGAGTAAATTAAAGACTTGCATGAAGTCAGAGAAAATAAGTCTTCGGAGTGGGTAGAAGAATAGAAATATACAGAACCTGAATTATTTGTTTGCTGTGGGTTGCCTAATTAAAGTGAACCCATTCAGCTTTTTGCTGCAGCTTTTACCTCAAATGGATTGGTTTCTTTTATCAGCTGAAGCTCATCAGTGGTCTCATACCATTGATTGGAGAAGTGGTCTGACTGGAGTTGACTGGAAAAGTTCCACTCAGAAATTCACTGGTTCTGTTCAACTGCAGCGGCTATACGTACTCTCAGCTAATTCACAAACCCTCATTTTCCCAGAGGAGTTAGAAACCTATTTTTGTGAAGTACTCAGATTCAACTGTATATTGAACCAATATGGGCTGGAAGGCCCTGGCAAATGTTTCATTTATTGCACAACAAACCTGTTAATCATGTGATAAATTAGATGCCACGTATTACCCAATTTATGGTTCGATACATGGCAAACCAGCCATGGAGATGTTCCACATTAAATGTGGATTGCATCACACTTTAAATTGAACATGTGGCAGGTTTTGGGACTGCTCTATGCCTGATCCCAATCAGTTGATCCTTGGGATCAGGTATAAGGCAGCCCCCAAGGTCAAGACATGGTTGCCCCTACCTGATCGTGGATCGATCCTGATGATTGGGATCAGGCAGGAGCCAGCCCTGAGATCCAAGACTTAGCGGCCCCCAGCTTGATCCAGTTTGGCTGTGGCAGTTAAACAACTAGAATCTGAGGAAATGTATGCCCCCATCCCAAAAATCATGTCCTTTCGTGCATGTCTGACATGGAAGAACATGCGATTTTGGGGATCGGACATGAAATTCCTCAGATCCCAATCACAGCATTATATTAACATCTGCCAGGAGCCTGAGAATGCTTGAAGAATGAGCAAACCTCTCTCAGCAGGGAACCGAATCGGCTTAACTAGACTTCTTACAGGACCCTCCACAGCGAGGAGATCAAGTCCCTTACGTATGCCAGTTAAACACCAGCCCACCCTGGGGTTGGTATCATAAGCCACATACCACCTGCCAGCCACTCTTGGGACCAGTCTCAAGGGCATTGGGCAGGGGGTCAGGGGGTGTAGACTAGCAATCTACTAATACTTTCCAAGCGTTTGAAAGGCTGCTACCATTTCTGGAAGGGCAGCTGTGAGCCACCCACACCGGCTTCTACTCCTGCAATACCGTCTTTCTAAACTGGTTCTGACGCTTTTCGAGTAGGCCCCGCACCAGCATATTTTACCGAGACCAAAGCGCTGAGCGGGCATCAAATCCAGAAAACCCCCAACTCCCGGGATTTCCAAGCCAGGGACTTTCTGTGCCTTTTTACAACACAGAAACGTCCCTTCTTCACAGTATCCGTGCAATGTCGCCTTCCCGCCTGCTTCCCCTTTAGCCACCAGGGCAGGGCAGGGGTGAACGCGACCCTGCTGCCACCAGAACAACCGCACATGCGCACACAGGACTCCATTGTTCCGTGCCAGAAGCCGCTATGGCCGCGAAGCCTGGCGGAAGACGCGGAAATTTCGCGCGCAGGCGCTCACGTGACCACGGGCAGCTGCACTCTTCGTTGGAATCCGCGGAGCTGGTTGGTTGAGTGCGGCTGCGCATGCGGTGTTTCGCCGCGGGCTTCGCCAAGCGGGGCGGGGCCTTTGGGCCGGCGCACGGAGCGCTCAGAGCAGCCCCCGGCCCTGGTGTGGCGGGGCGCAGCCCGGGTCGATGTCGGGCGCGTGCGGGATGCAGCCGTGCCACCAGGAAGCGCTGCGCAGGCACCGTGTGGCCTTGGCTAAGCAGCTGGTGCTGCAGGAGCTGCTGGAGCACTTGCTGGCGCGCGCCGTGCTCACGCCGGAGATGAAGGAGGCCATCCAGGTAGGGCGGGGCCTCGGCCTCCGTTTCCCCTCCCGGGCTGCGGGGCCTGTTCTGTCTGGTGGGAGCCGGCCGCGGCACGGTGGATGTGGGGGCGCTGCACGGGCTGGGGCGCGGGGTTGCGGCATTTCACAGGCGGGCCCTTGTGAGCTTGAACTGAGAACAGAGGAGCCGCCGTTTCGTGGGTCGGACCATCTTGCTCCGTCTCATATGGCCACCAGGGGGCGCC